GCCCCCGCCCCCCCCTGCCACTCTGCCTGCACTGGCCGACTACCATGAGTGTACCGCATGTCGCGTAAGCTTCCACAGCCTCGAAGCTTACCTGGCTCACAAGAAATACTCGTGCCCTGCTGCGCCTTTGCGCACTGCTGCCCTCTGCCCCTACTGCCCGCCCAACGGGCACGTGCGCGGAGACCTGGTGGAGCACTTGCGCCTGGTGCACGGCCTGCAGGTAGCCAAGCCAGCAGCCAACCCAGGTGCTGAGCCCCGCACACCGGCCGAACGTGCTCCGCGTGACAGTCCCGATAGCCGGGCACCACGCACCCCATCCCCAGTTCCTGAGAACACGCCTTCTGACCCCACAGACCAAGGTGTGCGGACGCCCTCCAAGGGCCCGCCCGCATCAGCTCCTGCATCAGGTGGTGGTGGTGGCCACCGCTACTGCCGCCTGTGCAACATCAGGTTCAGCAGCCTGTCCACCTTCATCGCACACAAGAAGTATTACTGCTCCTCTCACGCCTCCGAGCACGTGAAGTGAGTCTGCGGGGCCGCACCGCCTGGACCCTTGGCACTTAATAATAAAGACGTTTGGTGTGACAAGCTCGCTGACAGGCCAGCCTGTTGTCTTAGATTCAGTGGGCCTCAATCCATACCCCAGCCTGTGCAGACCTGCAACGGGCACCCCACCGTTTCCTCCAGGACCTAGCCCGTTCCAAAGGCTCAACCACCCAATACAGAGCTCTTTTCCTCTGCTTCTAGCTCACCCTCAGCCCTGCCACCATGCGCGTCCAATTGCAGGCCCCTAGGGAGAATGAAACCTTGTACTTGCTGAATCTGCAAGGAAAGGCACCAAGTGCCAAAGGGCCCCTCCCGTCGAAACCTGGATGGGTCCCTATGACTACTGAGTTGGCAATGGGGTACCCACCTGTAGTCTGTTACTTGCTGGCTATAGACCATGCCTGGCAGAGCGCATCCAACCTTGGTCTAGCCATTGCCTTGGCCTCTTCTTTACTTGGTCCCCTAAGAAGGCAAACATGCCTGTTCTCTAACTCTGTAAGTCTTAAGTGGCAGCTATAGAGGCTGGAAGTACCTCTGGGGACCTAGAGCCTGGTTTGCCTCTCACCCAGCCCTCTAAGTTGACCTGCTAATGGACCTGGGTTTGCACAAAAATAAATATTCCTGAGAGTCATTCACAGGCCCTGCCCAACTTACCACAGGGGTACATAAAAGCCACACCTTTCCTGTAGGAGTGGCCTCACACCACCAGGTCAACTGGAGCCCAGGATTTGGCTAGCAAAGGGACCCGAAAAATCAGCCAGCGTCTGTCTTGGGCCCCCTTTTCACAAAAGGCAGCCGGTGTGAATTTACATGAAAGGCTCTGGTTTTCATTCAAAGCCTGATAGAAGACAAATGCCTCCCAAGTCTGTACACACTGCTCTCTATCAGTTTGAATACAGTTTTACAGTGTGTACCTGAAGTTATTTAAAGGTTATGGGGAACATCAGGAAGATGGGCTGGTGGGTAATTGATGCTTGAATGACAGAAGGCCCAAGGTGGCCCCCAGCCTCCCCCTTGAGCCCCATCCCATACACAGCTACAGACAAGGTCCTATACCACAGGCTCTCTGTATCATCTGGGCCTGCCTCAGTTTCCATGACTGTAAGATAGGATTGAGATCCCTTCTGAGAACTCAGTGAGGGGACCCTGTGACCCTCACCCAGGCTGAGCTGCACGTCAGGCTGTACCATTACCCGGTGGTCCCTCCTGCCATCCACCATCCCTACCTTGGGCTGTAAGAGAGTGTAAGGGGCTTTTGAGCAGAAGTGTGAGCTTCACATGGCCCCTGCAATGAGATGCTGGATCCTGCACAGTTTATGGCCAGGAACAGGAACCAACTGTTCATCCTGGGCCTGTTCTCAGTCCACCCACACCTATGCTTAGAACTCACTCAGTCCTGGCATACTTCCACAGATGCCAACAATTCCTGTGTACCCTCGTGTATATTCCATCCTCCTCTCCCTGAGATCCCCTGGTTTCCTAGTACCTGCTCGATGGCCTCTGCTCCTTACAGGTATAGTTGCCATAGCAAGATGGCCAACTGACACTTCACATACCTGCTCTGGGTGTCTGTCCCCTGCTCCCTGGAGGGCTGTAGTCTACATGAAAGTCAAGACCCAGGACCTGTCTCAGCCTCCCTTTAAAGATTTGCAGGGTCTTGGGGGCATGGGGAAGCACCCCCCCCCAAGTTTGCCATGTGTCTGGCCATGCCTCTTCCCTAAGACTTCCTGCCCAGGAATATTGCCTCCAAGGTTTCCCTAGGATATATTCCACTCCCACACATGAACCTTTGCCCCTCATGCTGTAGTGAAGGGACCGGCTCCACCTGCTGCACTTTCTGTAGATGTGACTCAATGTTGTCCATGTTGGCCCAATCTACATCCCATACTTCCAGTCTGGAACATTCCTCTAGGTCTCTCTAAAGGGACTCATTCATACATCTCCCCAGCAGACCTCTCTCACTCCCACCTTCCAAGGCCTGGCCTCTGGCTTCAGTTGCCCTATAAACCCCTTCTCCACCCCTGAAGAGTAGATTCCCCTCCCCAGATTTTACCATGTAGGGGTCCACTGCAGGAGGAGTGGGGATTTTCTCTGGTCCCACTGTCAGAAGCCCAACCCTGCTCAGTCTACCATATTCCTTTGCTACAGATCTCCATAGTGCCTCCAAGGGACTCCACCCTCATGAGCTTTGCACCTCTCAGTGGGCCTCCTACTAGATTAACCTCATTATGAGGTTTGCTCAAGATCACCAGCTCTTTTCTACTACCCACCCCCCCGACCCTAGATGTCTGGCCTGTTCCTGAGAGGAGGGCCCCTATCCATTAAGTTCATAGCCACCAGGTAAACTCACTAGCCACCTTTTTCCATACCCAGCAGTTGGTCCCCAATCACAGACCCCAAGGTCAGTTACCATCAGCCTCTCGACTGGTCTGCCTGTGTCTACTGCCCCCCCCAGTAAACCACCCATGTCACCCATATGACACCATATCACCCTCTAATCAAATCCCCAGCCTACCATCTCTACTCACCATAAACATAACTGTATGTGCAACCAACACCATAGCCACCTCATTGATCACCACTGAGTGCCTAGGAGCCTGTTTGCTAAGCCATGATGGCTTCCTTCAGTCCTGCCTGTTTTATTCCTGCCCTCAAGACAGCCTCCGACCACATGATCTGCCTCTTAGTGCCCTGCAGGCAAGACAGACTTCCACCTCCACCTCTGTGCTCCCTGCACAAAGTGCCACCTGTGCTGGCCAGGTGCTGTCACCAAGGCTTGATGAGGTCCATCTGTCCTTGCACCACCTCATGATGCTTGACAATGAACGTTTGTGAGAACACAGGGAACTGTACTGTTCCCAGTCTCTCATCTCTGCTAGTGTACAACCCCTTATCTTCCCCGTGCACTGGATTATTCCATGGGTAGGGACAACAAGGTTCAGTGGTGCTGAGCCCCTGCCAGAGCACCTCTAATACAATTGGGCTTTAGCCATGTTAGCTGGTCTACCCCCAGCACTGGGGATCTCAAGCACTATCTCCCCAGACCTAGCCATTACCTGTGTGGAGCTCAGCCCTGCAGAAGTCCACCCAGCTGACCAGGAAAGGTCATGCTGTCTTGTCTCCCTTCCAGAGACCTCACGAACCGTCAATTGGATCTGCTGGGGACCCCATATAGATCCTTCTCCCACGCCCAGCAGATCACTCCTACCCCAGTCCTGCTTTTGATTTCAACACTAGTGGAAACTCAGGACAGTAGAGGTCAGTGCTGGCTCATGCAAGCATCTGGCTGGCCTGCCACCATGCTTAGCTAGTGCTGCCTGTCCATCATGAAATGTATGACCCCCGAGGAAGAGGAAGGAGGGGCAGAGGTGGGCAGATCCTCAGAGCACACTTCTGCATCTCCTGCCTCAGATCACCTAAGCACACACATGCCACAGGGCTTCTAGACACAGGGATTCAGACCTGCTCAGGAGCCTCGTTCACATGGCTTGACAGCTGCACAGGTGCACAGTGTTAGCACCTTCCTTGAAAACCTCATGAGATGGTATAGGGCCCACCTGCTGAAGAGACCGTCCTCAGCCCCTGGGGGAGGGGCTGTGCTGGGAGAGGTGGAGCTGACCCCTTACATGGCAGCTCCACCCTGGCCTGTTCTGTCATTCACTCATCCTGGGCATGAGTACCAGAAGCTTCTGCCCTCACCAAGCCCAGGATACCCTGCACAGAGCAGCCAGGCAGCAGGTCCACTGAGGCACACCAGTTTGTCCTGGAACTGATCAGAATGTGTTGACTAGGGATTGGTGGAGGGAGGAGTCACACCCTGGATGTCCTGGGAGTGGCCTGTTCATTCCAATTGCTCCGGTTTAAACCCCACGCCCCAGGCAATCAGTTAGTAGGGACTGGAGCAGGCCTTGTACTCCAACGTCATTCTGAAACTCTGAACTGCACTAGCAGAGCTGTCCTCCCCAAAAGTCAAATGGTCTACTCAAGGGCACATGCAACCATTCTGGGGTGGAGCCCCACCTCTCCCACCCATCTATGAGGATCCTCCAACCATAATGGGGCTCCCAGGTGTTTTAGGATGCTCTTCCTGCACCCTCTCTTCCACTCCATAGTCTCTTTTAGCCTGGGAGCCATATAGGTCCCATAGGGATGGGTAGTGAGGTCTGGGCGCCCTTGGGCCCAGCATCTATCTGCCTGTCTTCAGTGTGTCCAGTGTCCATTTTAGAACTAGGTGCTTGTCAGCTATTGAAACACATTAAGTGGTTCCTACCATCTTGGTTTTTTGTTTTTTGTTTGTTTGGTTGGTTTTTTGAGATAAAGTTTCTCTGAGTAACTTTGCAGACTAGGCTGGCCTGGAACTCAGAGAGTCACCTGCCTCTGTCTCCCGAGTGCTGGGATTAAAGGCATTTGCCACCGCCACTCAGTTCCTACCAGCTTGTTTTAAACTCTGTTTTATTTACACCTCTGTTATACCTTCCTATTTTGGGGGGTCTCATTAGGCCTTTACCCCAGCCTTCTTCCTTGGATTTTAAATGTTTATTTAATTTTGGGTTGTCTTAGATATATTTTATTTAATGTATGTGAGTGTTTTGTCTGCATGTATGTATGTATGGGTACCCCATGCATGCCTGGTGCCAAAGGAGGTCAGAAGAGGGAGACTGGGACCCTAGCACCCACATGTGCATGCTGAGAACTAAAACTATGTCCTCTGAAAGAGTAGCAAGTGCTCTTAACCACTAAGTCATCACCCCAGATGCTGGGGTTTTTGTTTTGTTTTGCTTTGTTTTGTTTTGTTTTGTTCTTGAGACAGGATATAATTATGTAGTCCTGGTTGACTGGAACTTGCTATGTAGACCAGGCTGGCCTCAAACTCACAGAGATCTATCTGCTTGCCTCTGTTCCTTAGTGGTAGGACTAAAGGCATATGCCACCATATCCAGCTTAATTTAGGATATTTGGGTCCCATTTTTTACTTGTGTGGGTCATTTTAACACTCTGGTTGCATAATACTATATCCTAAGGCCCAAACGCCTGCCCCCTTGGGAGCAGGAACCTGAAAATCTCCAGAGTAAGCAGCACTGTGATGTGGTTGGTATAGCTGGTTGGACTCTATAAGTTGCATTTTTTTTCACTGTTGCTGGTAGTATTCAAGGCAGTCTTGTTATATAGTTCAGACTGGCCTGGAACTCACAATCCTGCCTTGGCCTCCTGAGGGCTGGGTTTGCCGTTAGATCCTTTATTGCTGTTTTACCATCTCAGTCTCCATGGAGCTACCTCCTCCAAGTAGCCCAGCCCTGTCTCAGCCAGTCTGCACTTTCTACTTATGGAACTGTGTTGGCTCTCAGGTCCTGTGACCTCTTGTTGCTACAGGAAACATTTCCCTTCCCTGTCTCCTACAGGCAGAACTGTCTACCTCACAATGTCACTCCAACTCTGCTTTTTCTGTCACTAGATGTTTTAATGTCATGTGGAGCTTTGCACGGATGAGCTGTATCATCTACGTTTTCTCTGTTATTGGTCTGACTTCCCTAGTCTTGTCCATTTCCCTTTCATAACTATTATTTTCTCGGGTTGATTCAGAAGCAAAGCGTCCCACGTAGATTTTTCTCAGCATGTTCTGAATGATTATTTTATTTT